TTTCATCGCGAACTCGATGCTGTCCAGAGTAACATGCAACCAGCGATCCATTCACTCATTTATATAGGTACAGAGGCAGCCAACCTAACTCTAAGCCCCTATCTTGACTCCAGGTATATGCTTTGTACATGATTATAGCTAAGAGATGTTTATTCCATTTACTTTCGGTGGTAAAGCAGACCAAAGTAGCATTCTATCCCAAGCAATAGCAGTACATATGCAAATGCCTGTTCATCGCGCAATTCGTTGTTGGAGTGCAGTACTACCTCCCAAGGGTAGGTGAACCTGCGGATCTGGTAGGAAGTCTGCGAATATAATAGAGGCTAGACTTCACTAAACGCAATTACGATTCTACTTTCACAAATATCACCACATCGGCACCATCTGCCAGGAGACTGCTGACGAGGGATCCAGCATGTGCGGCACTCAGATCCTCTTGATGCTGCCCTTTGGTGGCCTCTGAGGGACTTGTACAAGGCGGTCATGCCACTTGGGCATAGTCTGTTGCAGGATTAAACCTTGAGGGTTTATTGTATTTGCTGCTAGAAATCCGCCTGCAAGCCCACCTCGGTCAGATTCTAGGCCTTTCGGCAGCCCATTTGGGATCATCCCCAAGCTGACCTCCTGTGTTTCGTCATTCTGCGCCCCCAGGAAGGGTTTGCCTTGGCTCTCCGACAGATCTTCATAGCGCTCAAATCATGAGGAACGAGGAGATAGTCATGGCGGGCACTATAAGCAGAAGACAAGGCTTCATCGATGTGTACACGTATCATGAATAGAATAGGACGCAGCCTTAAAGGCTGAGAAGACTCTTTTATTACAAAATCGGCTCTATCAAAATTAAGTCAAAGCTCGAGATAGTAAAGGTGATCAAGGAACTACTGCCTGGATATGCAGGTTTTAATTAGTGTTTTTTTTCCAGAACATATTTGCTATCTATTTATAAATAAAGGGACATTCATAGAACTTTTTCAATGTTATGTTCGAACTTATATTTTACAAAAGTAGCAGACCATTATCCAACGTCGTACGTGCTGACTACCAAGGGGTATATTAAGAACTAATGCAGATCGTTGTGATTGACATTAGATCCATTGAACAAGTACACCATATCAATCAGTCTGGCCCGTTAGGTGAGCTGGGACATCTGATCTACAATGCAGCAAACAGAAGAGCCACCGAAGAACCCTGCCGGCATCTTCTTGGGTACCAGTAAGTGCGTTAACTTCGCCATGAAGATCTCTTTAATGGCCCTAGAGACTATTCCCTATTATTAAATCTGAGAAAGACGTATAAAGGTAGAGTGAGTGGACAAAGCTTAATGATAAAAGTGGTATGTTGAAGTTGGTCTACTTATGTAAAGATGCAAAGAATCAATTAGAGAATTTATTGGAGCGTTTAAGGGTCTTGTTTCTGACACTATAAGGAAGATACTGCTGACGAAGATATCCTGACCATCTTTACGTTCAAGTTTTATTGGGCTGGTCAACTCGCACCGATCTTGCGCGCTTATCTGTTGTTGACCTGATGATACGAAAATGAAGCATGCAGGGAAGGCTTTTGACACTAGAAGAGCCCAGATGAATCCAAGAAACACGAGATAGAGTTGCCACAAAAAAGGGTTCTAATCAACTTTACATCATCTACAGAGGTTAGCTTTTATTGAGAACCTACTTCAAACTCATCCGCATCTCTATACCTTGCCGTATCCTTGAGTTTACTATAACGGCTACTTAAGTGGATAAACAGCGTTTATTCCATTGACCTCCGGCAATGAAAGCAGGCCGTCATTCTAAGTCATAGCCCAAGTGGATCGGCGTTTAGCCATTTCACTTCAACTCATCGGTGCCTATTTCTACCCTCATAAGCACCTCCGCGAGCTATGGCTTTTTGAGAGAGAAGTTAATCACACCAGTTTGGCTCTCACCAGCTTCCCACCAGCATGCTCTTTGAGATTCGTCGATAAAGGGGCCGCAGTGTTATCGTGTTGTTTAATCCCGGAAGGGAGGACTAGAGACTACCCTTACTCCGCCCCAACTATTTCAGGCAGGTGCCCAAGCGAAGTCGTGCTGTACATCTGTTTTCCGTCTCCATGATTAGCTGGCAACGTCGCCGTTTGCGTTGTTGGGCAGCGGCTGGGACATATTGGTCGGATTAGCAATAAGTTCATGATCTCCTCGGAGATCGTGAGCCTACATCATGTCGAAACCTTCCTCATTAGGCTCGGAAGGTATTCACTCGGGAATACCCAAGTAATACCAGTAGTACCAGTCGACGATGGGTTCGTCGCGGTCGTGTAATTCCGGATCCCTTCGTGTCACGGTAAAAATCGACGCCGATATCACCGAGTTGGTAATACCGGTCTATATCCACCGCGACACTTCGCGTATTCTGTTTGCTTTGTCAAGGGTACCCTCTTTAAGCTTGGTCAGGGTGATCATGTCAAGGTCAATATACGGCCGACTTTGACCTTGGCCGTGTTGGACAGTCTGAAGCGCCATCTCAACTGTTCTTGTGCCAGCAGTCAAGGATCTATTGACTGAGTTGACCTTGATATATGAATCAGCATGGTTACAGAAGCTTCCGGCGCATTGTCTGATGCTCACTTTCGAAGTACATGCATGATGGATAGACGTTAATTTTAGCTGACTATCGATGGCTACAACGATGTAGATAAACGTCGACTTTAAACAGACATAACACCTGGCTCGCGATAGGTTACGAAGCAGTTACCTTCCTAATGAGCTTGGCATAACAAATGATTATACCGCCTATATCGAACAACATTCTTCAGAACGGCGCTTTTATCAAAACAGCTCCTCTTGCCAAGAGTTCCCGTTTCTGCTATCAATCAGCCACATACGAACACCTAACAGAATTCTTCCTCCCATCTCTCCGTATTGCCAGCCAGACTTGTGTTTGGGGAACGACATCCCCCTCACTCATCTAGGTATAGGATCCCTTCTACTATTTCTGCCATCAAAATCTTCATCATCATAGCCAAGCGTCGAGATGGTGTCGTACCCACCCTTGCTATTGTTGTCATCCGGCTGTGAGCTACAGCTGGTTCGTTGACTGTCTTCTTTTCTCCTTTTTTCTTGGCTTCAGTGACCCTTGAAACCAATTCAATGATTTTTTCGGCTGTAGATACAATTGGCCCTTAGGTGCTCTTCTTTGGTAACTTTCTATTTGGTCACATCCTTGAATCATTGATTGATTTGCAACTACTCACTTAGTAAGCGTTATTTATCCCGTCACTTTCTACAATAAAGCATTCGCTTATTCAAATCATAGTAGCCAACTTAGCATTGTCTAATGGCTATATGTGAGCTGTCGAAGTGGTTATTTAGGTCCTACTAATCACCAACTAAACTTTGGAAAGGGCGCTGCCACTAACCTGCCCTCCTTAGCCGAGATTGAAAAATCAGTACAAAGGCATATGTTTGCTTTTTCTCATTTTAGGTAGTTTGCTAAATCAAAATTGTCGATGCCTTTGAGGCGTCCTGCTAACTTGCCGTCCAAATTAGTAGTCAGTAGCATCCATGTTTGATGGGGATGGCCACTCTACCCTCGACTCCGAATCAATTAAATAACTGTATTTGAGAGTTCATTCAGAGGGTAGATGGCGTTAGAAATTTCAATCATAGTTTAAATCTGCCACAGGGGCTGTGCAAGCCAGTACTTTACATCTAAATTGGAGATGTAGAGAGTTAGGAGCAGATGAACAGCTCAGAAACCCTTTACCCCGGCGTCCTCAATCGTTCCGCCATGTCCGATCTCTCTATTATCACCACCTCTCCAATACGAGTTCGTACGTTCGCAACCGCCATTTTATATGCCGTCGCATTCTTGGTTATGTCATAATGGAGTTGATAATCAGCTTTGATTCCACCTATATTCGGTATCAAACATCCGGTTATCGTAAGCAATAACATAGAATCTAACGGCCTCTAATCCCTTTACTTCAGGGCATTTAACCAGATCTTACAGATAGAAGGTGTAACCTGAACGGTACTGGTCATGACCACTAGCTGAAGACCACCCAGAGTCAAAAATCATTGACAGGATCAAGCCATCAGAAGATAGAGGAATACAACTCACTTGACCCCGGTACTTTAGGACTTCTTTCTCTTAGGTGGCAACTCATATCTATAAAACACCTAGAATGAGAAGTGCTACAGCAAGCAAAGCCCGCAAATGTAATCTTGAACTGGTAATCAATTTCCTGAATTGGCCAACATTCGCACTGGCCATATGACCAGATCGTGCTCAAGACATGAATATCGCTGCCAATACTTTCAAACCAGTAGTTAGAACAGCGAATCGATTGAGCTAGACCTACTGGTCTCCGGGGGTGACATATCTCGAGCAAGAAGGAGAACCTGGGCAGCGGGATTTTTGCCAGCTTTCAGACTCTGACCCTATTGACAATTGCTCCAGTCCCTATGGTATACTGAACCTGTTTTCAGGATTGTCGATGCCCTCATACCAGCACTGCCAGCAACTCACGCCCTCCGATTCTCGATGCAGGCCAGGACGCTAGAATATATCACAGCCATGTTGCCCGTCAACATGACTCTGGACTTTCGGCATATTGGCAACTAGGGTTTCAAGTATCCAGCACCTCGTACAGCAACCTTAGCCATTAACCCAAGGTGGCGAAAGCCAAGATGCTACGTTGCCCCTTATTTCAAACGTTTCCCTCAAACTTAGTTATCGCTCAAAATCAGCTTAAAAGATGTTAGCCTTCCGCTACTGCTCAGGATTATGATTGCTTTAATATTAGATATCAATGGAATAAATAAAGCTTACACATGAAAATGCATGGAGTATAATCAAAGGTTTTGGTGGGATGGAAAGTGGTAACCAGTGCAAAGGGCAGTTACCACACCTATATCAAATCATCTGGACACGGTGTCATAAAAGTACACATGTCCACTTATCAACATCATTATCTACACCCTAATTGCACCCAATCTATAATTACTCGCATCAAATGGTGATCTGACCCGGGCTCGAACCGGAGACCTTCTGTGTGTCAGACTGACGTGATAACCAACTACAACAGCCTTGTAGATCGAGCCTTGTTGCTGATAGGCTGATCTTAACTGGCACTGACCGACGTTTATCACGTCTCATTTGATCACTTCGCCATTTACCAACTCACTGATTCTCTTTCTCTTCACCTCATCAGCGAGGCATCCTGTACTTTATCCCCTTCCTTCTAAGTGTGTAATTCATTTCATCAAGGACATACCACTTGGTGTGCCCGCGATACGGCAAGATAGATCGTGTCAACGACTTCTCATCTAAGTTGATCATTGATGTCTGCGTCGTTGACGGCATGCTTCCATACGTCGATATGAAGCGGCTTGTTCATTGAGGTTAATTGATCGGGATGTTCTTTCAGGTACAGGTGAAAGCGCCAAATTCCAACAGCAAGAAGTTGTCCATAGACTTTCAATCCCGCTCCAGTCAGACATTTCCCTTCCTCCTCGATAATATAGTCAATGAATTGTCTTGCCCATTTGGCGGAGATGAAGGATGGTTTCGTAGCCATTGCCTGCCTATTCATGACATTCACCCAGTTTTATTCCTACCAATGCCTCTTACTCAACCTTCATCATCCCATGTATATCGTGACAAAGCCATCTTCATACAACGAGTATAACCCAATATCCAGCAGGTATACCCCAACATTCAGCAAGTATACCACCACGTACCGGACGCATTCACGAATCCGTGTTCGAGACTGATGGATCTACTTAAAGGGTCCAGGATGCCCAATCCTTTTCATCGACTTCTCCATTCTCAGCGGACTTCCCCAAAATGGAACAGTCAAACAGCCTGGCTGGTGCAGGGAACTCTTATTTGAATAATGGCACAAGATTGCGATATCCATTCCTCGAACCATGATACACTTAGCTGACGCAAAGATGCCTATCATGAGTACCTCTAACGAGTTTTACGTAATGCTGAGGAAGCGCCAGAATTTGTGGGAGTGATTTTGAAATTAAAGCCGAGGATTACGGAAGTTCTTGCTTCAGTTCTACAACGTGTGCTAAAACGCAGCATTTTATTGATATTGAGAAACTTGTCAGATTGGCCAGAGGAACGGACTATGATGATTTAAGGGCGGATTTCTAAACAGACTTGATCGCGCATTGTGAAATCGAACTCAGGGAACTGAATCCTTTTCACAGCGACGGTGGTGGATGTCGTAGGCGTGTTCGTAATGGAGAACTCTACAGTAACCAAAGTCTAGATATCTTCTCAGAAGATGAGGAACACTACATTCGTGTAGAACGTCACCTCATTCCTTCTCTCACCATCGCAAATGCCATTCATGGATGCTTTCAATCTCATCCTACTTCCCCACAATGGAACAGTTCAACAGACAGACTAGTGCAGGGGCTTGGTCGTCTCTGCCCTGTCTATTCAAATAATATGTCTTAGTGACGGTCCAGAATGCTGGGTTCTGTCAGTAAATTTGACTAATCAAACTCACCCTGACGAATTTCGCTTGAGACCATGGCGAGACTTTACGTTGTTAACTGCTCTTTCGCCTTGATCATACACCGTCTTGGTCATCCACACTCACCCCCCCCTTTTCGGGCTCCGAGACCTCATGAATGAAAGTAAATGGCAACCTCGCGAGGAAGGAGGAAAGAGGTAGAGAGTAGAGCCAAAGCTCGCTGCAGCATGATATTATTAGGACGACATCTCAGGTGCCGAAGCCCGGCCCTGTTGTGAGAGTCTTACTTTGGTTTTGGAACATGATGTAGTATTGAGCTTGCACAAGCACATATGTGTTGCATTCAATACCTAGCCATCTAGCGACTACAGCTCTTTGAAGCCATTCAACCATCATCACCCCTGTGTAACACACCAATACCTTTTCAGCCTTGAGCTTCTTTTATCCCCCTGCGTAAGTCCTCATATTACCATATTCCATTGGTTTATCTATTCACGCTGACAGTGAGGGGCTGGCACGCCTCGCCTCCTAGGTGTTGGTGGTGTTGAGCCCCCCTTCTCTAACCCGATTACAGCAATCAGAGCCATTTCTATCCCACAACAAAGCCACTTAAATTCGGTAAGAAAACCCAATTTTATTCCTGAAACACCACTCAATCACCACTAGCTATACCGCGACGACCGGACGCATTCCCGGACCCTCGTTCAGCACTGATGGTTCTAGTTAAAAGGCTCACGATGGACAGTTCATTGATAGATTTTCCTTCTTCATTCTCATCGTATTTCCCAAAATGGAGCAGTCAAATGCGCCTTGGCTGAAATCTGTCTGGACTATTCAAATCACGCCTGGGTAATAGTCTAGTTGCCTATTAGTAAACTTATCTCAGAAGCTGAAAGCTAAGACCACAAGCCTTGAAAGCGCTAGTAGTAGTCCACATGGTTAGACCATGGTACTGAAGCTGACGCGGTTACAAACACAGTATCGCTAACAGAACTCGACTTGGCGAACCTCGCTCGAGAGACAACATGTCAGGCGCCGAAACCTAGCCCTGCTATCAGAGTTTCATTTAAAGTATTACAACTTGTTTGGAAATTAGCTAACCGTAAAACCAGCGATAAAAACATAGTGATCTGTTCCGGAAGCTGGTTTAAGAGGATATGAAACTACCTGTTCATAGAAAAGGGCGGTCGAGGCTAAAATATTTAAAGAGGGCAGGCCATACCGCAAAAGCGAACAAAAGCGCAAAAGGCAAGAATGCAAATATCGGACAAGCTACGATCAACAATATAACTGTGGAATAGGCTGCCGATGAGCGTGGCTAGCTCAGCATTCTCGGTATTCTCATGATCCTCCTCCTCAGTGAGGAAGGTTGTATAGTGCAGCTGTGCAGATCTGGCGTGTACCTCATGCGAGGCGGAATTTAACATTCACGTATCGAGCAGCTGGGGCAACTTCTATTCATGAGTATACGTTAGAAAAGCATGAAATTTTTCTCATCAATGCCACTTGACCAATATCGATCTCTTACATGGGTCTTGACAAAGCCATCTTTATCCCCCAGCTATGTTATAATATGCAGCAAGTATACTGCGACGTACTGGACGCGTTCCCGAACTCGTGTTCAGGACAGATGGATCTATTTAAGAGGCTCACAGGGACCATTTCATTCATCGAACATGGAATCATTCTCATTATACTTTCCCAATTGTGTTCACCAAACAGGACTCTTGTCTATGGGTAGGCTCTGCCTGGCAAATATATATACCGTAACAACACTTCGTCATTAAGCCACGATTTGGATGACACAGGACTGCGACACCGCTTTCATCTTGTCCCGACACTCCGACTCCTTCTCCCTATCCTTGACGAATTTAGTCTTAACGCTCATGGTCACTAATGTCACTCATCTGTTCTTCCTTTCCCAACGTACTGCCCAATATAGATAGTCCAACAGACAGACTAGTGTAGGAGACTTTTGTCCCTGGGTGGGTTCTGCCAGGTATATATTCAACGCCCTTCCCATAGTTTATGAGTTCACGATTAGATGATGATACAGGATTAGGATATTGTTTATTTCTTGCTTCGAACTTCCAACTCTTTTTCCCTATCCGTTACCGCCCCTTTTTTTTTTTTGCACTTCCCCGTACGGAGCAATTTAATAGACAGACTAGTACAGGGACTTTGCCTTTGGGTGGGCAGACTACTTGGCGTATATTCCAATGACGTTCTGACAGTTCTTTAATCCCTATTCGGATGATGACACATGACTGTGACAACTATCTTCACCATGCTCCCCAGCCCTCCAGCCCCTTTCTCTCCATCCCTTGGCGGATCTACTTAAGCATGTTTAAGTGACTCTTCAGAGTGCCAGGTACTTTCATGTCAATAGCTCTGTTGAAAACAACAACGACTGCTATGACTTGGGCGAACAAACATATCAGCTGCCGAAGCCAAGCCCTGACGTAGTAATTTCAATCTAGTATCAAAGACATAGAAGTCAGCTAACCTCGTAAGAGGTAACTAGCAATGGACGGTAATGAAAGCTGCCTGAGAAGCCTGCCCGACTATCGAAGAGACCGACTGAGACTTGAAGTGGTGGAGGAACATCTATTTATAAGACAAACTCCAAGAGGAGTATACAGCAAACGTTTACCTATTCATCCCATGAACCTATTATTTATTCCTGTTAATGCCATTTGCCCACACTACATTCTTCCGTGTAAGTCCCAACAGAGTCATCTTTATCTTCCAGCTATACCTCAAGATTCAGTAGTAATACCGCGATGTACCCTGCGCGTTCTCGAACCCGGATGGGTTGAGTTAAAAGGCTGATGATGGACCATGCTATTCATCGAACAGGGAATCTCCTTTCCTTCTAATCATACTTACAAATACAACATCATGAATCACCTATCGACAGTACCGGGGCCACTGGTTCATCTTTGCTTGTATCTAGTCTATTCAAAGGGGGGCATGTCCAGGTCGATGATTTAGAGTGCTCTTTTGACAGTGAACAGTAGGGCCGTTGAGACCAAATGCGGTAGGGGTGTCCTTCGCTGGAATTGTATGCAGTTATTTGATCATAGTGCGTAACAATGTGTGTCCTTCTTCAAACTTTGAGCTATCTGTTCTTCTTGGCGCAGCAGACCTCTTTCGGACGTGCAATTGGCAATTGCCTTTTGTAAACTATACTATTGCCAACCAAGCAGCCTATAGCTCAAATGCAACGCGACTCGTGAAAGTGTCTGCACCATCCGGCCTTTCTTTGGTAAATAGTGGTAGTGGGTGAGTACAGCAAGCATACCTATTTATACTCCTCAGTCCACAGAGACAGAATCTCAAGGCATGACCTAGGTATGGCACTTGATTCAGATAGTAATCAATTACCTATACCCAGAATTACCAAGTCAGAATCAAATGCTTTTCTTTCAATACACTCCATCAAAGCCAAGGCCTATTCAGGTATTATTACAATAGCTTTTCTGTCCTTTTAACAGCGCCTTCGGTTTCAATAACATAATGCCAGAGATATTCAGGTGCTATCTCCCACATACCTCCATTAACCTCACCAGTTCAACCTCGTATTTACTTAAAATACTCGGGT